AATGTTCTTTTGGCAGAAACAGCCGTGCTAAAAATGAGGGGGGAAAATGAATTCAAAATGTAGAGCTGGCCTGCAGTTACAAAGTGATAAGAAAAGTTGGCTGTTCAACATGAGCTGCCAGTTGCATATTCTAGGTCCTTGCTATTCTCAGGCCCTCCTACAGCCATGGCCCTGACCAGTGTTTTGATATAGCACAAAGTGGCTGTTTATTGCTATTGACTGCTGAGGCCTGCGCTCCGAAATGCGTTCTGTCAACAGAATGTAAGTGAATTTGGCATTTTAAAGCTCGGCTGCTGCAGACGCGTAGATTTCTTGGAATTGCCATGCAGCAGGACCGGTGTTGCAGTCCCCAGCTCAAACTGAAAATGCTGCACAGGAAGACTTATCATGTGAAGGTCAGATTTACCTGAGACCCTGAGGGTTTTGTCTGGTTTTTCTTTCCTCATCAGCATGGTATATATGTCTTGTCCTTGCTTTGTTGCCTGTCAAAGGCTAGACTTCTAACTTTCTAAATTTGGTTCAGTAAGCTCTGTATGGAAGAAAATGCAAACGGCCTTCACGTGAAAGGGAAATATGCATGATAACTAGTACATGATATTGCCATAAAAGGAGTAATCAAAATCTGTGCTAACTCTGTATTACATTGAGGATTTTTCTCTTCTTTTGAGAAGCGATAGTTTCTATGATTTTGTAAGAAATCACACATATTGTTTTCTATTGCTTCTGTAGGAACTACAGGCAGAAATCGATGCTCATACTGACATCTTCCACAACCTGGATGAAAATGGCCAGAAAATCCTGAGATCCTTGGAAGGCTCTGAGGATGCAGCCGTATTGCAGAGACGTCTGGATAACATGAACCTCAGATGGAGCGAGCTTAGGAAGAAATCTCTAAACATTAGGTAGGATCTTAACATAAGCAAAAGCCTACAGTTGGTGTGTAAGGTGGGCTGCTGCGTTTTGCCAGTAGAAGGGTTTAATATTGTTTCTGATAGCACTATTTCTGTCCATTTTGAGATGATTTGTGCTATTTTGAATGTTGGCTTAACTTTGTAAGAGTGATTAGGTTTTTTTGGTGTGAAAAACGATAGTAGGGGATTAGGATTTGAGGCACATGATGAGGTTTTGTAATTACAGAAGGAGAGATTAGCATGTTTAAACAGCAACTGTACCCCCCCTAAATGTAGGCTTTTTTCTAGAGCTGGGTATGACTTATCAATGAGTCATGAAAGAAAGTGATTAAATAACCTATATTTATGATAAGCTTTATTGCTAAGGCTGCTATTTCCAGTGCAAAACTAAGAATAGCCTTGCAAATGAGAAGACACGTTATTTAAGATTTTAGCTGATGTCTGGAGAGCGGACAGAATTACCAAAATCCAGGGGTAAAAGGAAATCCATAGGTAGTGTCACAAGAGGAAAAGCTTCTCCTTGCAAGGAAAACTATAATAAATAGTTATGTTACAAATGATGAAGTAGAGGTACAGGCTTCAATGGACTGAAGAATGTTTTTCAAAAGATTTTGTCCAGGAAGCTTCTCTTCAGAAATACGACTTTTACAATAGGCAACCCAGCTCCGTTGCGTTCAGTCTTGGGCATTTTTCATTTGCTTGCTTGCTGTGTGTTAGTTGGTGGTAGTTCAGAAGACAGCAAAAGGCAGAAGTGTTTTTCAAAATAATGTATGAAATATTAGCTTTTTTCATCTCAGGCCCTGAGGGAGGTCAGTCTGTGTAATGACAAAAGCCATCTTCATAACATCAGTCATTAAAAATAAATGAAGGATGTGAGGTTGAAAAGATATTAGTAGCTAAAGAAAAAGACAGACAAATTCCTCCTTTTTTTTGTTCTGAGGAGCAAAAGAAGAGGGATATAACCCTTCAAGGTCTCTCTGAGATTTTTTTCTTCTTTTACCCATGAACTTGCCCAAATGCAGTAATGTTTGAGATAAAAAAACCCAATCAGTTGGCCAAATACCAGTAATTAAATATATGGGACTTTCTGTCTTTCAGTTTTTGCAGTTCAGTGTATTGCTGCCATTAATCAAGTCAGAAATAGTAACCCTAATTATGTCACAGTGAGTTCTTGCATTAAACATTCAAAGCAACAGACCTTGTCTCTAAAATATTTGCTTTCATTAAAAAGCTCAAGGTGTTCAACAACTTACTGATTATGATAAGAAACAATTCTTAACTTCTAAAACATTTAATTTAAATGCTGCTGGCCCCCAGACTGAATGAACAGGCTATTCTCAGTCTGTCTGCGTGGAGCTACTTCTTTCCATCACACACTATGGAATGGGTTTCATCATAACTAGCAATGCTTACGCAAAAGAGGTATGAGAACAGAAACGTGAAATGCTCCCCAGGCAGCAGTCCCACACGTCTCCTCATTAAGCATAAGTTTTGGTCTGCTGAAACAGAAGACCCATGCTGTTGCTCAGCTTATGTGGGCATTCTTTTCTAAATCCATTAGATAAAATACATGGTAGATATCAAGAGAAGCCAAGTTCATTTCCATTATTACCTTTCTTTTATTCTGATAAGTCCATACAGTTTATCTGTTTTGTCTGCACATACTTGAACACAGCTATAAATATATGAGTGTGCGCATATAATGTACACTGGCATGCACATACATAAACATATATTCTGGAAGCTGAAAGAAGGGCAGAACAGAATGAGTTCAGGGAAACCATTCACTAAACTAGGGAAGGTCAGAACACAGCAGCACTAACAAAACCACTTTGGGTCACTCTTTTTTGCACTCTTTGCCTGTAAAGCAAGACCTGGGGAAGCAGGGAAGAAGTGAAGACCCTAGCGTTTGCCTCCAGTTGCTGCCCTGTCTGGAGGAGATGGAAGCTTGCATTTGCTGAGATAAACATGGGACACGGGAGTTAACCTGACTCAGAAACTTGGCTCCTTTACTGTGTCCCCTCCAAAAGCCCTGTGGAACTTGCTCTAGCTGTTGCTTCCTGCAACTCCCCATACAACATCCCCGCTTCTCTGCCCCCTCGCTGCTTTCAAAGGCATCCTGGGGCTTCCACAGCCCTCACTGCCTGCAGGGCTGGCCTCCCCAGCAGCGCCTGCTGTGAGGCAGTTTTGCCCCAGCCCACAGCTGCCTTGTGAGAGCAGAGATCAAAAGGCAGCGTGGTCTATGTGTCTCCCACATAGCCTTTAAGTTTGAAAAAGGAGAAAATTTTCCATCAGCTCACATACCAGAGCAGCTGAGCTTTCTGTCAGCCTATGGCTAATCTGTCCCTTTCCTTTCTCTTTCCTTGCCACTCCAATTACCTGGTGTAAGAGGTTGGAAAGAAGACAGGATCCATAGAGCATTTCAAAGAAACACAACTGTCTTTACCGTCAGCAATTCCTCATTTCCACATCCAAACTAAGTAATAAGGTCTGCAAAACATTGAGACCATATTTATCACATTTTGTTATAGACCATCCTATATGAGGTATAGGAGTAGAATTTTCACTGTCAGATAACAAGTGATTTTATGTGCAATCACTGAAAAAGAAGAGAAATGTTATATGAACAAAGCTGGAAGTTAAAAAGAAAATATATAAATAAATCTGTCTTTATTTTCCAGTGCATTTTATCACTTTACTGTTACGTAATTCTGCTTTTGATTTGAATTACTAAGAGGAATTCTTTTGTTGCCTAGAAGTTAATTAGGAATTTCCTCCCCACCAGCAACAGAAAAATAGCATATTCATAAGTCTAGAAAGACAAAATTTTAGTGTGCTTTATCTATGGTATAAACAAAATTGAAGATGTGATCAGTCCAGTGATGTTTCAGTCACATATTTTCTCTCCACAGAAAACAATTGCTGAAAATTAGTGGCTCGATACTTGATCCCAGTATTAAAAACAACACATTTACACATATGCGCATACACGGAGGAAATATTTAGATGTCCTTATGGTGGAGACCTTGTTTGCACAAAGTAGTATTATGTCCTTTAATTTTTCCCAGGGATTCAGTTAGTTTAATTCACACCTCTGTTCAAATCGCACAGACATTGGGGTAGTGTACAGGGATTCTATCTGTTTTAACAATTTCCTCATTACTTTTTTGGGAAATGATGGCATTGGTTCTCTTATCTTAAAGGTGAGCAACCACATGAATCTTATGTGAGTTTGAATGGTTTGTGTAGTGGTTTAGAGAAATGCTTGCTCTTCTCTGAGTTGAAAACATCTCTCTACATTTCAGTTAATTAATCGCCTAGTAATCCTAAGTGATGACTAAGTTACTCTCTTGCTCGTCCTGCATAATATTTGTGCACATTTAGTCAGACTGACAATTGAACATAGCTATTACTCACTGCTGAAGAGGAAAACTAAAAAAAAACCCAAACAACCAAGAAATGGGAAAAGAACGGATGTTTCAGGCCAAGACTGTGGAACCAGAATTAAATCAGCATTGCCAGAATCTAATTCAAAGCTACTGAAGCTATTTAAAAATCATTAAGTTAATGAAACGCTAGGATCTTTCTCAGTAAATAAGCTTGTCCAATTTAGTTTTTATTTTCACTGTGCCTGAATATATCTTATATTTAACACATGCTTTCAGATCCCATTTGGAAGCCAGTGCAGACCAGTGGAAGCGTTTGCATCTCTCTCTTCAGGAACTTTTGGCATGGCTGCAATTGAAGGAGGATGAATTAAAACAGCAAGCACCCATTGGTGGAGATCTTCCCACTGTGCAGAAACAGAATGATATACATAGGGTATGATTTTTTTTTTAAATGATCGTTTGGTCATTGCTTTTTGTTTTGCAGGTTAGTGCTGCATGAAACAGTCCTTGCTGGAAAAAGTAAGATACCCTTTACAATATATTTGAGAGACAATGAAAACTGAACTTCTTGCATGAGAGTACTAGCTACAAGTTTCAACCACCGGTTAGAAAATCAGCCTTTTGGAGTAGGGAGTGTTTACTACCAGCTGCTTGGCTTTTTTGAAAAGCAACACAGCCTTTTCGTAGACCTATCAGAGACAGCTAGTTTTCATGGCCAGAAGAAAGACTAGCCTAACATTATTTGAGAATTAAATATATAGTTCTAAATTTTTTTCTAGATCAGACACTTAAACTTCATGTGTACTTTTTGAAATCCTGTTTTGCTATTGATTGTTGGGAACATTTGTGAAAAGTGTAGCTGATATCAGCCCTAATGCACAACTATGTGCATCATGAAACTATTGTGATACCTGACTGTAACTGTCCATTGTTTATACTAGTGTCATCAGGGAATTCTTATGGCAAAGTTATTTCGAACAAATGTATTTTCTATTGAATAATTTAAATTGTCAGTCAGACAACTTGATACCATGAGAAGAGACTATTCCAAAACCAGTGATCACCCTCTCAAAGGATTGTGCTTCATATAGATAACTTTCAGATTTGCGAAACTTGCCACAAAAGGTATTGTTTCTGAAGTTCCCAAATCTCTCATTTTATTGCTTAATGGAGAAATGTGACATGGTACTGTAAAATGAAATTGGATCTGGAATACCTGTGTTTTCTCCATTCATCAGGTAGCTGTATTATAAGTATTGCTCTAACAGATTGTCCTGCCTCATGCTGAAGGACACATTTGAGAACAAATAGTGAGAAGATCAAGTTTGGAAAGAGAACATGACATATCTTGCTGCTGTAAGTTATTTGGAAACCCTGAGTTTGTGAAAACTCTGGAAGTATCATATACAACCAGGCTTGGCTCTTGGCATAGGCAAAGAGGCGTTTGTCTACAGTAGCAGACTGATGGGAAGTAGTGGCAATACAGTTTCTCAAGGGCCTACCTAATGGCCAAGAAAACCAAAGAGAAGGATGAACAAAAAACATCTCACTGTTATTGTGCAGTGCTTTTCTAAGATCATATAGTGCTTTGCTGCAGGGGGTAGCTTGGTCACATTTCCTAGGCCTTCCTTCTGCAGATGTGATATATAGGATGTGACTTTCATACAAAACTTTGCTTTGGACTTCAAGCACTATCGCAGAAACAGACAGGCCAAAATATCCATGACTTTATGGAGCACCACCATCCCTTTTTACCTTTCCCTCTGTGAAAGTTAAGATATATGAAATGCTTGAGGTCCATTCTAGCCAGCTGTCTGTAGCAACTTCCAGAAAGTATTTTTAAAGCCCATCCAGAACATCAGGATGAATGAAACAATATAGATGTTGCTTTAACTCAGCATGACATTAACTCAAACCCTTTATCCAAAGACAACTCTTGAGCCAAAGCAAGACTTAGAGAAGGATTTGTGTAGGATTGTTACAACAAAACTTTTGTCATCTGAATAATATCTGAGTATTTGAAAATATTACCTTTCTTCCTAGATCAAAGAAATAATTTTTTCATCTTATAAAATTTTAACTGAAGTATTTAAAACTCTTAGGGACAAGAACTGTTGCATAAAAGTAAGGTGCAAAGAATAGGTGCAAAGTGACTTCACAAAATAGAACTCCTCCTCAATTCTCCTCTTTTATTATCTTCTCTGTCACATGCAGATACATACAGACACAAATCTTTGGTCATCGTGTCTAGTATCAAAGCTAGAACATTTTAGTTCCTTTTAGAAACATGGCTTCTTTTTTTCCCATTCTGTACCACTTCTGTAGTTAAATGCAAGGCCTTTCTTGTTGTAGGTATTCTGATTCCCTGTGGAAAAAAGAACAAAACATAATCCTTGAAACTAGGTTACCCTGTCTGCTCTTCAAAGATCTCTTACAGAGAAGGAGGGAAAAACAATCAGTGCAGAACTGTGTTGACTTCAGGTTGTCTTTGACAAAAGTCTGTTTGCATCTCACTGTTTTTGTGCTGTATTTTTTTCCCCCTGGACACTATGGACTTTCTGTTTCTCTGAAAGATTCCTTTAAAGAAGTAGGCATACAAAGGCTGTATCCAAATGAACAGCTTAGCTCATTTCTTAGCATAAGAAAAATGCTTTTTGAAAAAGCTTGAACAACAAGTATAGAAGTAGCTAACTTAAAACTGGAGCACAGTGCTGGAAAGTTGTTTTTTTTCAAGTTTTCAGCCCCTGCTTAAGAACAAAACTTAGCTCTCAGAGTGTTGGATGTGAAAGTAAAGAGTAGTTGCATTTTGGTCTTGAGAAAAAGAATCTGCTGATTGTTCATTTTGTTCTCCTGAGTGTCAGTTCTGGAAATCAGTCTTCAGTAAACAAGCTCAGTCTCTACTTTCTCTGACCAATCTTTTAAATGACCCAAACTTCCAGCTTTGGTCTTCCTATATCAGTACAATGTCTTTCCTTCTGTGAAAAATTGTTTTTGCCAGGTAAAGCCAGAAGTGAACCCAGGTAAGTTCTTCCCTGGAGAAGAGAAAAAACCTCAGCAGGGGAACATTATTTATACACAGTTTAACTGATTGCCCTTCAGAAATGGCATGGTGAATGCAAACACGATTTTATGCCTGAATCCCTTTTCTAAAGCAATGTTACAAGCTGATTTTTTTTTTTCCCCTTAAGGATGTAATTTAAAGAATAACAAACATATTTAACCTCTCTATCTTTTAGAAGACCATCTGGAATACCTCAGACATTCATAGCAGAGATGAAAAGAAGTTGGTTCTTATCATTAGAATGCTCCTAGTTGCCAAGATGGGCTTTAAAATTTTTAAGAGTAGGATTCAGATGAAAATTTCAAATGTTTGAATCTATGCCAGAGGAGAGCTTGAACTCAACTGAGAAAAGAGATATCCATGCAGTCAAAATCATTGTTGCGTTATAAATGTGAGGTGCTTTCAGACAAGACAATTTGGAATTTATCCCGAGTACACCCACATAACTGCTATTTGTTTGAACTTATATCTATAGTGGGTCATTTTGTCGTTTTTTGGCATCTGAAGAAATTGTGTCTATGCCAAAGTCTTAGGATGTGTGTGTAGGGAGTTTAGACAATGATAAAAAAATACTGCTATTCATCAAAACATTATTCACTTGTCTTTCCATTTTCTTTGTTTTACTAAGTGTCATAATGATGTTTCATTGAAATCATATTAATAACTGTGTACATGTTACTGTTCATCTCAGTTAAGTAACTTAGGCATCACGCAGGTAGCCTGCTTTTTCTTTCATTCTTTTAAGAGTTGCCACATCTTCTGTGTAGTGATTATATTAGCAGCATAAATAGCATTTATGAATATGGAAGTTAATTTTTAACAATTCCCTGGAAACCCTTTCACATGAAATCTATAGCAACAGTGCCTAAGAAGGAGTACAATTTCTGCTTCAACACACTCACCTTTTCTGGTGGCACAGTTGATAACTACTTTTTAAAATTGAGGTCAAAACCCATTTTTATAAAGCATTCTGGTTGGGAAACATCTTGAATTAATTTATTTGTACTCTTTCTCTTTAAAATTCATTAAAAGGAAAAAATTTATCTTCTTTTCTAATAACAGAGATTAATTTTAGTTTTACTAATGCAACTCTTTTGTCATTATATTCTCGTCTTTTGATTTAAACAATCTGTGTTTCTCATTCTAAAGAGATTTAAGGACACCCGGGAGGAGGTAGGAGAGGTCTGAAGAGACAAGCTGATAAGCTGATCAATATATGCATTATTAAAATGGTGGACAGAATACTCTTACTGCTCTAGTGTTGATGACAAATAGAGATGTTTAAATAAAGTAGTTTACTTGGTTTTTTGTCAGGTCATACATTATGCACGTTCGATTTCCTCTCCAGTCACCACAAAGTGTGGAAGAAGTTAAGGAATTCAATAAAATTAGCCTGAAATCATTAGCTGTAAATTAGACATTCATTTAGGCTAATTCTGCTTTCAATTATGGTCTGTTTATTATGAAGATGTATTTGTCAGAGCTCTAGATAGATAATTTTTTTTTTTTTCAAAAGAAGAGACAATGTCATTTATTGCTACTTTATGATTTTTATTGGTAGTGTGTACATATTTCACAACAAAACTTTAATCAGAAAAGCTGGCTTTATCTTCATACAGTAATAACATTTTTTTGGAATGGGATGGTATGAAATGAACATTCATTATTTTGAATGCTGTTCTGTGCTACTGCTTCACTCTCAGGGTTTTTTCATTCTCTCCTCTTTAAATTTCTTAAACTGAAACATATTTTAACTTACTTGGGAGAGGTCTACAGATCAAAGCTAGGGAAGGCAATGAGGATTGTGGATAGATCTTAACACCATACTGTGTACTATTCTAAAACTCAGGATTTACAGACTATATCACCAGCTCCAACATCCAGAAGCGAAAAATAGGAAAAGAAAACATTTAACATATTGGCTCACTGTTTTCCTTTAATAAAAGAGAAAGAGACTCTTTGTGTTTGGGACTAAATACAAAACATAAAAAGTTGGAAAGTTCCCATTAGCATTTTTCTATTGTTTTGAGAAGATAGATATGATTCCTGCTCACACACTTTATGGGATGCAGTATGCATATATGATTATGTTATCCTTGTTCTGTTGCACAAGAGATATTGGAGGAATGTGGCTTTAACCCTCTTTTGGAAATATAATGCCACTAGGTGTATGTGGTTGCTATGGTTTTATGCAAACCGGTACAAGTTGGAAGAAGGTGTTTTGTGTCCTTCTCATTGTTCGTACATGTGCATAGCTAGGGTTGACCTGACGACAGCAGCAGCACTCCATACAGCAGTACTACTCATTCCCAAACACACAATTTAAAGGCATCTCTGGCTTTTAAGTACCCTTTAAGTTGGTGTCGTTCTGTGTTCCTCTGGAATATCGGTGACTCCTTCCTGCTCTTGGTGTGTGTGGGCAGAGCAGACCTTTGTGCATGTGCCTCCTGTTTGATTGCTTAAGGGCATAAACGTTTCTGAGAAATAATTTGTCTCTGGAGACATTTATAAAGCATATTATATCTTTAAGCTGTTATACAGTTGTAATGTTTAAAACCCAATATGACTGTTGATGCCACTTTTAACATTATCAGATGAGAACAAAGCATGCATTCCATGGGGGAACATTTTAAGTTATGCTACCTGCTGGCTTACTTGAGCTGCAGACCTGCCACTCCCTAGAGGAATAGATTGATGTAATGTGAAGTGAGCACAAAGGCTAATTAAAGGGATAGATTTTCCTTATTTGGAGGCATGAAAAAGGCTTATTATATTTCCTCTCTCCATTGCACTTCATGCAAGAGTCAAGTATGAATTATAAAAATTTCTAAACCTAAAAATGCCTAAGTTAAAAAGTTTTAACCCTGGAGTAACCCCACTCAGTTTTTATGTGGAGCAATGTCTAATGGTAGTTTACTTGCTAACATACAGTACTCTTCTGTATTTGTGAAAATCAGTGTTGGTTCTTAAGTTCAACATGATTGTTTAAAACATTTATCACAGATATTAATCAAACAATAGATTTTGCCTTATGATAGCAGATACACTCTATGAAAGGATCCCAGTCCCATTGATGTCCATGACAGAAAATTAACATTTTTTTACTTTGTTTTTTTCTTCAAGAAAGCACACTTTGCTAAAGGGTTTTCCTGATTCACAATTGCAAACCTTATGATCAGTTCTTAACCACTTAATAAAAAGTTTATTTAAATATTTATAATAGAATAATTGTAGTCATTTCCTTAAGTTTACTTTCCAGAAATGTATTAAGAATTTTTTACCTGTGAGTGCTCATAGTATAAACTGAAGGTGTGATTCTCATTAGTTCTGTTAGGTATTTCCTGTACAGAGCATTTCATATCAAATACAATTCAAAGTGTAATGAACTTTTTAATATTGAATTTATAATCTTTGATTAGTTTGCATAGAAACCCAAATTTTGTTTAATAATTAATTTAACTGAGTTGATGAATTTATTATGTAAGAAGCATATATAATGCCTGTGTTGTAAAAAGAATTTTCTAATCCCTGGAGTAAAATATCTGTTTTCCACTTATGGCGTATGGCTCTTCTTTTTGCAGTATTGTGTTTTGTGTTATACTGCAGTATAATTATCTTCATATTTTACTTCTATGCTACTTGAAAACAGTATGCATTCAATATTTTTTCATAAATAGAGAAGAAAATGTTGAAATAAAACAGTGATAAGGACCATTTAGATAATTTTAATACAACATGCAAAAGACCCAATGCAACATGCAACCCACAGGCCAGGTTTCATCTGCATTTTTGTGTGGTGAACATTTGGACTCAGATTGATGGAATCTTAACTCTCTTTAACAAAAAAAAACCCCAAAACCCAAAACACCACCCCCCAAAAAAATCCCCCCAAAACCCAAATGACCCCCTCCCCTCAAAATCAAAACCCACCAACCTGAGATATGTATACTTTCAGTAGCCTACCAAAAGTTCAAATACCAATCTTGAGAATCTTACTTACTGTCATTTTAAAAGCAGGGAATAGAAGAGAGATAGTAAAAGGAGCTCTTGCTGGTGGAAGAAAAATGCAAATAGGAAAGAGGAAGAAAAGGCAAGAAAGGACACAGGTGCCAAAAAGCGTGACAGGAAAGAACGAGATGAAAGGGAGAAATACACTTGATCTGAAAAGGAGCAGAACGTACCACTGAGAAATGTTACACGTAAAGATATAGAAATTGATAATAAATACTGATTAGAGCAACTAGGCATTAACTATTTCAGAAGGACTACTTTCTGCCCTTAATTTTTACTCATGCATGCCTACATCTAGGCTAGATTGTATTTCTGAATTTTCACCTTTCCTTGATTATACATTTCATAAATCTCAGGTCGTGTAATTTTGGAAGAGATGCATCTACACCACTGCTAGAAGAGAGTGTTCCAATTTAATACATTGGAATTTTTTTTGTTACTAATTGTTATGGGTTAACATAACATGTCAATATCCATAAGTCCTTCCCCCCCCTTATAATAGTTGCTAGCAGCAGTAGCAAAGTGGTAGCTATAAGACATATTGAATTTTACTTCACATTCTGGTAAATCTTACTTTCAAGAACCATTAGCTATGCTGGTGTGGTCCAATAGAGAGCCAGCCCAAGCCTTGCCCCTTGCAGCTCAGTTTTGGAGTTGACCCTCATGTTAATCAACAAAAGGGATCCCTCTCACAGTGAAAATTTTATCAGCAACCCTGGGTGCTTTGCAGCATGCTGGCAGTACATTTACTCCTTTGAACTGTGATTTCAGGTTAAGCAAAAGCTGATTATCTCTTTTACATTTTTTTTTTTAATAGCTACTTGTAATACACACATGGAAGCTGTTGTTAGAAATTGTGTTCTTAAATTGACAAAAACAAGGGCTAGCACTCAGTATTTCATTATATATCCACTTACAATAATTTTGTTTCATCTCTCAGACTTTCAAGAGGGAGCTGAAAACTAAAGAACCCGTTATCAGGAGTGCGCTTGAGACTGTGCGAATCTTCTTAGCAGAGCAGCCTGTGGAGGGACTGGAGAAGCTCTACCCGGAACCAAGAGGTAACTGAGGAAAGAGCAGGGTAACAACACATTGCTGGAAAGATCAGTGATGATCCGCGATGATTAAATAAATTCTGCCAGCTACTGTGAAAGCATTCCTTTTACATGCCAAGCTGCATGTCGGTATTCAGAAACTAAGCTAAAAATATAGATGAAAGAAACCCTTAGCCATCCTTCTGAACACTGTGGCACTAAATAGACATGCATATTTATAAGCAGATTTTGAAACTGGCTTTAAACCTCCAGGACCTATCTATAACTGTAGGCCCATTTGAGGTCTGAAAGCTGCAATTTAACCTGAAATTCAACTTGTAGTCTCAGTACTACAGAATCTCCCAAATCCACTCAGTTGCAGCAAAAGATTCACAATGATTAATATTTACATATGTGCAGAACTATTTTGCTGAATCAGAACACAGTTGATATAAACTTTTAGCTACACTTCGCACGCTTAAAAATTCTTTCATCTACTTAAATGTACACAGTGGTGATTTATATGGTGGCAAGACTTAAATTTTTAAAGAGATATTCAAATGAGAATACATTAATAAAATAAATTTCACAGGTGTCTTTAATTATGAATAGTTTCTTACTGAGCTTTGAACTTACCCAGATGGCAATTATTTTTCTTCTAAGGCAGAATATGTCTTAAAAGCCTCTTGACTTTCACATTTAGAGCTGTCACCTGAGGAAAGGGCCCACAATGTCACTAAACTTCTCCAAAGGCAAGGAGATGAGGTCAGAACTGAGTGGGATAAGCTGAATCTACAGTCTGCTGATTGGCAAAAGAAGATAGATGATGCTCTTGAAAGACTGCAGGGCCTTCAAGAGGCAATGGATGAACTGGATCTGAAACTACGCCAGGCTGAAGTGTTCAAGGGATCCTGGCAGCCAGTGGGGGATCTGCTAATTGACTCTCTGCAGGATCACTTAGAAAAAGTCAAGGTATGTGTCAGTATATCGGTATTTCTGAGTATAAAATAATTGGCTTGTTCATTGTATGAATCCCCAACTCAGGAATTATCTTTTTAAATGAGAAATTGATAGCTTTGTATCATAGTGATTTATATTTAAAAAAAAAAAAGTACATATAAAGAGTTTTAGAATTTCTGCAATTAAAATGGAGTTGAATCAACATTGAGAATGTATATGGCTAACATGGGCAAAAAGCACTACAGGAATGTGTAAATATCCTCAACACACTCACTGTTAACTCAGGAGGTGCAGAATTAACAATAAAGAAAGCAAAATAGAATAGATATGAGAATATATGAGAAAAGTATAGAAAATTATTTCTGTTCTTTATTACACTTTTATAAGTATGATGAGTACATAGTTGTGCCTATACTTGTAGAGTAGAATTTAATTGAGTATATGGGTTTGTTGTTGTTTTGTCATGATGGTGGTATTTGCTATCTGTGTTATTTGATAACTAGACCTCATAACGTGAAATAGTTAAAAAAAGAACCACAACCAAACAAAAAAAACCCTGGAAATACTGTCATTATTTTGTATAACTTAATGCTTATCTTCTTTCAACGGTTGTTTCCTAAAATCATTGCTTATTGAGAAACTTGTGACGACTCATCCTCGTTCAGCATGACCGCCATGGCCAGACTTTATAAATACTACAGGATTCCGTCAGCTAGAGCACAATAGAGGCAGTTGCCATTTTGATAAGAACAAAGTGCCTCTGTTCCTCTCACATAAATGGGAAACATCAGTCATTTTGAAACAGACCTGAGCTGACTGTTGCGTTCTCTAATAGAACATTAGGATCTAAGGAAGAGGAAATAGAATGACTAATGGCAAGAAAAATGCCTTTAAAAATCAGTTAATAAAAAGAAAAAGTCCATGAGTTTTAATCACACAGAAAGTTTAATGAGTGTCCTGTACAGATATTATATAAGATAAATGAAATACTTGGTAGCTTGGTAGCTGATGGACAGTTAGCTGCAAAATTTGTTTATCTCAATTTAAAATCATAAATGAACAGAAGAGATTTATTTATAAATTCTCAGAAAGTGCCTTCTATTATAGCCATGGATTTTTTTGTGATCTTGAAGAAGATATTCTGAACAGAAACACTGAATCCCTGATATTACTAGAAAACAACGCAAGTTGCTTAATTCTAAACCTGTGACTATAACTGTTGACTCCACAATTATAGTGCTGAATATTTTTACAGTTAAAAAAAAAAAAAAAGGTAAAAATCTGTCCTAGAGGATATAATGAAATTCTAAGAACAGCCATGAAAAAATAGAAATCTTAATACTTATGAAAATCCAGAGGTACTGTCCATCAGTAGATGTCTGTTTATTCCTTCTGAAGTCTTAATATTAGGGCTGGACAGAAACCAAGACTTCTATTCCAAGAGTTAAAATTAAATGCTACCACCTAGCCCCTGATTTTTATCTCATTTGTACCACATTTATTTAAAATATTTATGAATACAGGCTATCATAAGACCGTACCATAAGATCATCAGCTAAATGGTAAATGAAAAAGACATAGAGAACACATTCATAGCCTTATAAGCTCTACCTTTTCATTTCATATATGGCAATTCCAGTCTGCTAGATGTACATACACAGTGATACCGTGCTTTTAGCACCTTCTAAGTGATGATAATTAGGTTAGGTAATCTAAGAACACAATAAGCCAAAAGCTGAATAATAACAACAGTGTAAGTAGTATAATAATTGTCCCAAAATGTGCTGTCTAGCATGTATGTATTGCTCTAATGGAATGTAATTCCAACATAGATACTGATGACAAATGCATGTACTAACTAGGCAATGTAAGGATGTTTGTGAAATTAATAACTGCCAAGAAAGCTACAATTGTGTCTTCAATTCAAAGGCCTATATAAAACTATACGGTTTTAGGTTTTGTAGGTTTTACCCCAGTTATTCATATTTATGACATTCATACTCGTTCTTAGTGAAATCTATTTTAGAAAAGTTGTAAATCAAGAACAATCATTTATGTAACCCTAAAATAGAGCATGTAAATCCTTAAAAAGTTTTCAAGTTTGCATTTGCTACACATGAACTGGCTAGACTATAGAAACTTTGATCTTGATCCTTTATATCCTTAGCGTATCTACCTCAAATGCACAAATATTTAAAATATACTCACAACCCTAGCATTAATTGCTGGGTTTGATTTTTCAAAACCTAAAAAAGAGGGTTTAATGTAAATACATGATCTGTGACAGGAGCAATAAAACATGATTTAAGCCCATTTTTATGTTGAACATATTTATTGGATAGTAAGTTCACTTCCTTTGCAAATATTTCCATTAAAAGGTAAATTTGTTGAAGACAACACAAGTTATATAGCCTTCAGTTAAAAGTTATTAGTAAACAATAAGTTTTTTCTTTATAAATTATATTATGAGCCAAACATTATCGAATTGATGTATTATCTCTCATCCTTGCTCTGGTTTTTATGATGTGTATCACGATGATTGATGATATTAGTGTGAGGGAGAGTACCTATTACTCTCTATACATCTAAGCACCCCAAGCACCTTCTGAGCAGATCTTTGAAATATTGGTCAGATGTGATTACATTTCTTGCAAACCCTTCTCTTCATTGGGATCACAGTAGCCTTCCCAAACCTAAGCTGATGAATAACTTCCTAAGGAATGAGTTTACCAAGTGCCGTTTGTCACTGTTCTCTTCAGTTATAGTTGCTGGAGCTCTTAAGGTCGTGGTATAATGTTGAGCTCACACAAAATAACTGATCCTTGATCAGTATTAATGGATTATTATTCCTTGATCTGTATTAATGTACCAATTGGTATTCATCTCTGATTCTGAGGACAAGAGATAGTTTCACGCACCTGCCCCAAAGAATGCAACCTAGACTACAGATGATCTATAATCAAAATATTCTTCATACTTCTCTGCTGCCCTCTGTTATTCTCCCTTTTTTCTTCTTATGAGTGACCTTATCTGCAGACTGAAATGTAACTTACTTTCTTAACACACATTCTTTGTCTCTTCCAAGCATACCTTTCTGTCCATTAAAATCCAAAACATCACTTAACTGTCTTAAATTCAGTTCAAGCCCAAACAAGTCTATTAAATGCCCCCTAATATCCATTGGCTGATCATTTTGATTGTAGCTCACGTCATATTTTAGACATCACCTGGGATTTCTACTTCCCTCTGCAGCAAATTCAACAGATGCTTTCTTCTTGGAATGACTAGCAAAATTTTCTTCTTTTCATCAGAATGCCTGGAACACTCAGGCTCACATGAGACCACCACTCAGTTTTTATATTAAGCTTTTCCTGGTATGCAATTGCTAGGCAGTCAAACCTACCTCATCCATTTGGTATCTTATTCAAAGACCCATTCCAGGAGTTGGCAGCAGAACAACCTTTTCTCTCTTTCTCCCCAAAAGACCCTCCTTTGCTCCATACCAACCAAAACCTTGATAATGGTTGTGCTGCGAGTGTGCAGCAATCATTACATGTCATGCTGATACTTTCTTACTGTTTTCTTGTCTGTTTGTAGACATCTGCTGAGAAATACTAATAGGAATGGGTGCTGTTGAGTATTCAGAGGAGTTCCTTTATGAAGTTTTAGATTTTTGACAATTTACCCTCTGAAAAATTCTGTTTTTAAACTAGAAGCCACTATTTTGGGATGCTGTGCACAGAATTTTGTGACTGAGAAGGCAATGTAATTTTAACAGTGTGGTTCATCTGTTACTAAAGGTAGTTCAGCTACTCCAATATGCTTATGAGAGCACAAATCAAAGCATTTTCTTATGCCAGTGATACTGTACCACATCACTAGTAGCATATAACTTCTTCAGTTTTCTGTCATACACAACACTGTAAGTGCACAGCAGAGACTTCCATGGGGGATATAACTCCTTTCTATTTTTTTTTTAACCATTGTAAAATAAAATTAAAAAATAATCAAGAACAGGCAGTAGTGTCTGTGGTTTCTCTAGTTCAAAATAGAAGTGTGTATCTCAAGAACACCTGCCAAATAAATGCTGAGTTGTGCAGCCCTATTTTCAACTAGCTCCATTCTGCTATAGAAGGATTTGTTCTTCATTGTCACATCATGAGGGCACCTTGACTCAATATGATGATTGTTAACTGTAAAAAGCGGAACAGAATTTAGTGACATAAGTTTTGTATTTTCCTGTGAGCAGTTTTCACGAAGATCTTAATCTTGCTTCTTAAGAACTGGTTGTTGCTCTTGAAGATTCACTTTTACAGTTATGAATAGAGCAGTTGCACAAGAAGACTATGAACTTTTGCATATAGATTATGAATTTTAATGTATTTAATGTAGTGAATGTATTTGCAAAGGCTGTAAGTATTCTTTAAAATTCTTTTGTTACAGCCTATTTACAATGTTAAAACAATTTCTAATTATTTTCTGCAAAACTTTGAAACAAAAGGCAATGAAAAATTCACGAGTACTGCGTTAAGTAATCCTTTTTTTCTGAGATGTCAGACCTGAATTTTACGCTGTTTATTTCAGACTTTCTTCAGCATTGTAGCTGAAGTTTGTTTCTTCAGACAGTTGTAGCCAATTTTATGTTACTGACAAATGTTCACTAAAAAGTGTCAACCTGAAACTTCTTTCTAGTTTGTAAACTGAACAGAGCCTGCAGTTATGCATAGATCAGAAATGAACTGATCTGCTCATAATCTGCTCCAAAATTACTTTCCATGTGCACTCAATCTTTTTGTCCCTAGGCATCTCTTCTCTAAAGGAAACAAAAAGTAAGATAACCCCTTAAGATAATTAGCTAAATTTCAGTTGTGTTCATATGTGGCCATGGAAGGAAAAGAAATAGATTTGGCAAGGTTACAATACCATATTCTTACAAGTACTCATCCTAAGCCAGCAATCTCAATTACCAGACAATGAATGAGTATAGGCAGTTCATTAAAACAAAACAAAAC